AGAATTATTGTAAGAATTTTAGATGCCAGAAAATGGCACTTTAATACATAAAAACTAGCAAAATTATCCACTGAGCCCCATCATTTGAGGCTGAGGTGTGAAAAACTTTTAGATGCCTGGAATGACACTTTAATACTCGGTTATTTTTTAACATTCAAAAAGGGGCACTCTATTTTTTTTCAACATTTGAAAGGGGGAGGGAGGTTCTCAGACATCCTACACCCTGGGAGTTCTGAGAGTTCCACTGAGGCGACGTAACCGTAATCTTACTTTTTCAACCATGGTGGGCCTGAGGTGTCTATCTGTGAAGTTCCGTCTCTGGGCACCTCTATGTTGAATTTCTGGATCCACTACTGCAAAGACCACCCCATCTGAACGGAAGTCAGAGAAAATTCTGGATCTGCGCCTGACAGTTGACTTTGTTTAAAAGGACCGCAAATAGGTCCTTATGCCTTGCATTTATAATCTTAAGTCAAAAAGAAAGAACATGCATTGTTGAAATTGGAATTGTTGCATCACTGGCGGATTTACAAATTGTTTTGTAAAGCTTCAGAAAATTACCAAACTAAATAATATTAAAAATCAATCAAATATCAACTCAATGAAGGTGCTAGAGGGTTTTAAGGGAGATTCCCCTTGCACCCCTGCCAGGGGCTCTTTCCAGAAAGAAACTATCACTCAGGACATTCACACCCCTTCTTTCTTACCGGCCTGAATCCACCCCTGTGCATTGATAACAGTAGCGGATCTACGGTGTTCAAGGGGTTCGGATGAACCCCCCCCCCTCTGTGAAGAAACGTAACAAAATACAACTTGGTCCTGGCTTACAAAAGGCATGCAACTTAATTACCTAGGCATAGGTTGGAAGATCGAACAAACTCGGCTTAGCCCAAATAGTTTTCAATTAAATAAATTATACACACTGTTTTTGGTTCGCCGTCTAATAATTTATGTACGAAAGTGCGTTCTTCAGGCATCGGTTCATCGATCAATGGAAGAAAGACTCCAACTACTCAATGTTGTTGGAATATAATAATATATTGCCTGTCTTTGATTTTTTTCCCTCTATGATAGGCCTAAAAAATTAGATGAAATTACCTGACCTTTTTTCTTGAACTTTTCATTAAAAGACTCCTCAGAAGTCGGGAAAGCTCATTTCCGGCCATCTAGGAAAGGCACCCGGACCCCCTTTCATTTTGGCGTTTTTTGGAAACATTTTGAACCCCAACTCTTTTAAATCAAATGCTGGATGTGCCCCTGGATAACGTATGTTAATGTACATTTAAAGAAAATGATTAGATACCATTTAGACATGTTATGCTATCAACAACTTTATCGCAGAAGAGGGCACTGCATTAGCGCAAAAAAAACATAGGCTAAGCAGATTAATAAAATTATTGTTTCGTCCTTCACCGGCTTTTTTACCGGCGTTTACACTGCCACTCCTTATACGTAAAGTATTAGCAAATTCCGGTAATAAAAATATTGGAAAATGTTTCATGTCCGCTTCATGTGGGCCGAACCTAGATATTTGAAGAGATTGCGAGTTTTCTTTCGTCTATCTCGTATGTGAACCCGGACAAGCTTTAAAAACAGTAAGTTCGTATAGTGCTAAACTAATCCTGGCTTATAAATGTTTTTGATCTAAGGGCTTTTGCGAATGCATCAAAGTCATCCAAAATACATAAAACCTTACGGGAAGATGACCCAATAAAGTTTAAAACGTTAACATCAAGGCCACTCCCTCATTATTCGGAGCATAAGGTCGAAGAAACGTTCGTTCTGTTACTTAATAGACAACACCTTAACTGATGGAATAAATAGCCTTAAAATATTATAATATCAAAGGTACTTAAACGACGCTTCCTGACTGCTGAGCCAAGGGGGGTGGGGATGGGGGTATGCTGGATCCCTTGCGTTGCAACTGCCGTTTGATTATCAAAATGCATCATGATGGTAGGATCTAGGTTCACATTTAGGGGTGGGGGGTCAGACTTTTTTTTATAAAAACGCCAAAAAAAAAGGGGTGGGGTCCTCCCCCGGGAAAATTTTGATTCTTAGATGGCGGGAAATGAGCTTTCAGACTTCTGAGGTGTCTTTTAAGGACTTTTAAGTTCTTTAAATTTTAAGGTTTTCCTCCGCTAGAAAACGGTCAGGTAAACTTTTCATTATTATTACTGTAAATACTACTAGGCCTAGAGCCCCACTTTGTGTGTATGTACAGTACCGTACATAACAAAAAATGAGTCGCTGCATACATATTCTTTTTTTCAATAAATCGATGAACCCCAAATAAAACGGGGGTCGGGGTTCTTCCCGGGAAAATATTGGTTCTTAGATGCCGAGAAATGAGTTTTGCCGACTTCTGAAGTGTCTTTTAATCAAAATTCAAGGTTTTCCCCCGATTGTAAACGGTCAGGTAATTTGTTCTCATTCTTATTACAGTAAATAGGCCTACGGGTATATGTGAGTACCGGTACACAGAGATTTTTTTTTCAAAAGGGGGGGGGGGGTCAGGACCCCTGAAACCCAACCCCCACCCCCAGATCCACAAGTGTGATACAGGTGGCAGTACCACAAATGACAGTTGGATGAATACCAAATTACCGACTCAACTTTCTTGAAAACAAGTTTTCCGAATGCTAAATTGCCTACCACTTTGCAGAAATCCAGTTTCATATTTTAAGAGGGCCCGGATCTTCAGTTCCTGCTGCAAGTACCCTCTTACTTTGCTTTCTCCTGTGAAATTGGTTCCACTACCCTAGTAATCGTTGAAAACGAAAACAGTTAGGCCTATGTGAAATGCACAACCTCAGTTAAACAACAGTAATTCTTTTTTTTTTGTTTTGTTAATGTAATGTTCATAATGGATTCATTCGCGCCTGAATCCCCTGTTATCAAATACCTTTTCAACCATCCACATTCAATCTATAACTTTTGTGATTAGTCATCTATCCAGGGTCTTTCCTAACGTACGGTTTTTGAGTTTCGGGAAGTTCAAGTCATTTACAGTATCGAGATTGGGATTGGTCAAAAGCCTGGATACAGAAAGTTTATTTAAGGCGTGGTATAATATAGTAAGCCACACTTTACGAAATTGAAGAGGAAGGCAGTCATGGGAATTGTAAGTTGTACAATTTTATATTATTAATGATAACATTTGAAGATAATATTACGGAGCCTCTAAAAGGACATGGTTAGAAAAAATATATTAAAATATTTTGAGGGAACGAAATAATTTCGAGAGAACGAATATTTCGTTCGAACTAGATATTATTTCTAAGGAACTAAATCATTTCGAAATATTATTTCGTTCCCTCGAAATAATTTTTTTTCTAACCATGTCCCTCTAGTGGCTCATTTCGAGGGAACAAATAATATTTCGTTCCATCGAAATATTAGTTCGTTCCCTCGAAATAATATTTCGTTCGAACGAAATATTATTTCGTTCCCTCGAAATTATTTTCTTCCCTCGAAATATTATTTCGTTCCTGCGAAATATTATTTCGTCCCCTCCAAATAGTTTAATATTTTTCCTAAGTATGTCCCTTTAGGGACTCCGTTTTATTTGGAAAGGAACGAAACGTTATTTCGGCGGAACGAAATAATATTTCAAGGGAACGAAATATTGTTTCATTCCCTTGAAATAGTTTAATATTTTTTTCTAACCATGCATGGTACCGATATTCACTCTATGTGATTCAGGGGATAAAATTCTGGTTTATTGCTCAAAATGTCTCAAGATATAAAGTTGAATGAATTTTTCTTATTTTGAGGCTGCATTTATTTGTTATGATACAATGAAAACAATTAGGGCCTAGGTGTCCCCAATAGGGATTAGTTGACAATTTACCACGTATACTCAGGAAGTATCACCTTGATGTCCGCTTAATAATGGGTTGGCCGTAGTATTAAAAGATACCTATTTCCCCTCGTTCCACATAAAAGTGTCCCCTTAATAAGGGTGTCCTCTGAATAGGGGTGTCCCAAAGGAGGGGTTCTATTGTGTGTGTATATACATAGAACAAAGTATGGTATATAGGCCATGCTGTAGTCGCCACCGAAATATACAGTCGCAGCCAAATGGCATTTTCTACGAACGAACAGCCGACACCGAGGGTACTGTGGGCGTGCCCTACGAAATATTATTTCTAGGGAACGAAATAATATTTCGTTCCCTCGAAATATTATTTCGTTTTCTCGAAATAGTTCGATATTTTTTCTAACCATGTAGGGACGTAGGGGCTCCGTAGCGATGGCCAAAACACAGGAAAATGATTAAATGGTATGTAGGGCAACGATACGGCATATAGGTGAATGAAAGTAAGAGATTCAGTGTGACGACAGTTATCATGGTTGTGTTATCGATTGCACTACAGATCGGGGGTGGATGCAGGGTGTGCAGACTATGCGATCACACACCTCTAAATTGTATTGAGAAAAATAATTGGTGTATTGTTTTGTTGATACATTAATTTTATCACTAATAGTACCGTACCGGTAAGATTTTAAATGTATGAGAGTGGAATTTTCGAGCACCTTGAAGTCCATATTCTCACAACCATATTCTCACAATTTTCGCACCTCAGCCCCACCCATGGTGGGGTTGAGGTGGTGTGCATTCACGCGCACCCCCTACTGCCAAATCCTGCATATATTGGGGTCCCTACTCATGGTGGCAATTATTAATTGCCACACAAAGCTTGTTACAGAAACATCTCCCAATTACGATCATTACTAAATGATCGTTTTTAACTACAAACACTTTAAAATGTATTTAAAAATCTTCAGAAATAATTTAAATTGTTACATCAGCTAAGAGAGAAAACATTCAAACCAATTAAGTGATATAAAACGTAAAAAGCAAGAAATATCAATCGTTTTCAGCCGAGATACAGTAGAACCCCTATTAAGGGGACACCTTCGGGACCAAAAACAGTGTCCCCTTAATAAGGGTGTCCCTTGAATAGGGGTACCCATATTAAGGGGACACTAACCAAAAACGTGAAATTGTTCCCTTAATAGGAGTTTATGGCATGTTTTCGTATAATGATGACATAGATTCTTTATAATTTTAATTTAATTGACATAGAATGGGTTTAATTACATTTTAATTATTTACAACTCATTTATAACAATAATTTGTAATGCAATAAATAATTCATTTAAGATATGAAATTAACAGATATGAAAATAAAACTACAAAAGTTGTATATGTTCCCGATATTTCTTTATTCGAGTACAATGTTAATGCCAAAAAAAATATTCTTTTTAAAAAATTGAGCTTTTTATTGGATGCACAAGATAGAATACTATTAATGGATGTACTAACTTAGGAATCGGGTTGCAGGCTGTCCATATAGATTACAATCCTATATCAAAATACACAAAACAAGAAATCTCCATGGTTAATTGTCAAAATTATTATTATTATTATTATTATTATTATTATTATTATTATTATTTATACGAAGTAACACATGCACTAGGCATCCAATGCCCGTTCTAAGGATGGAAAAAAAAGCCATAACAGTTGTAGGCCTATGCTTTTAGGAGGTATCACTCAATTGTTAGTGACTTCGTTTAATAGATCTTAATTCCTCTGGATGCTGGGGCGGATGCAGGATTTGGTGATAGGGGTGCATTAGAGTCCCCACCATGGTTGGGACTGATGTGGGAACATTAAGTTTGAGAATATCAGGTGCCCGGAAATTGTACTCTTATACCTTAAAAATTTTAACGGTAATTCATATCAACAATACATTACAATACATCAATTATTTTTCTTAATGCAATTTAGGGGGTGCGACGCACCGTCTGCTCCCCCACTGCATCCTCCTTCCCCCAGAGATGCTATACACGAGTACATAGGCTTGCTTAGCATATTGGTTTATTACTCAACGATACGATTTTCGTGATAGTGGTCAATGGCCGACATTCACCTGCCCCTTGGCTAGAAGGAAGCAAAGTGAAATGTCACCAAAAAAAAAAAAAAAAAAAAACGAGTCTTCCGTCCAATTATGTTTTTGTTATTCATAAAAAATGATATTTAAAAATGGATTTTTCCTAGGACTTACAGTATATTTGAGGATGATATTGCTATTTATGTTTCAGGAACACAAGTTGATGGATTAAATACAAAATTACAAATATTTTAGAAAATAATTTGAAAATATATGCAGTTAATAAACTATATACCCCTTTTACGCTACGCAGTAAAAGCATAGCCTCCCCGTGGTGCAATTTTGACCAACAAAATGTTTAAATATTTTGAATTCTGAAAATGTATAAGCATTTTGAATTTGTTTAGGAGGAGTATTATGATGGTATTATGCCCATGGTGGAGACTGTCCCTTAGTCTCTTGGGGGTGTCCGACAGCCGACAGAATGAAGAACATGCATAAAAACAATCCTCCCTGGAGCTTCGCTCCTTCTGGGAGGCTAAAAAACCATGCTATTAGAAACCAGAATATACTTTCATCTGATGTACTGAATATTTCATGTCGACTGAAAACATATCGAACAATTAAAACATAGGCCTATAAGATATTTGGGTTTAGAGATGTGTACGCAAACTTAACATGGGGTTATCCTATACGACATATACGTCTGTAAGCTTTAAGATTCATAACGTAGGAAATTGGCCAAAACATTGCACCAATCTGCTTATTACATAAGCACAATCGAACCATGTATCGATTATGCAATTTCGGTTTGGCGAACACATCTGAGAAAAATAATATATTGTAAAAAGACTGAAAAAACGTGCAGCAAGAATTACATAAACAAAATGTTGTTAACTATATGCTTTGATGCTATATGACATGCCTCCACCCCTTTCTCGTTAATATAACGAAATTGAAATGATTTTCGATCGACATGGATATTCAAAACTCAAAACTGTGAACGTTGTTGCACTAAGTAATTGCAACGTGTCACCACTCCAGGGGCGAGTGGAAAAAATGAAGAAAGAAAGAAAAAGACAAAAATGATAGCCAACAACGCCTCAAATGTTATTTTCGGGCGTCTAGAACACAAAAATTTCGGACCCCCTAGACATTATTGTCTCGAGCGGCCCAAATTTCGGCCCCCACTTTCGGCCCCCACTTTTGGACATCTCTTCACTGTGATTTCCATCCATGTGTTCTAGTGACAATTTTTACACCAGAAATAGGGGCCTAGTAATATATAAGTGACTATTTTTAACAAATTTAAATTATTAATGTGCATTATTACTTAACGATAAATACTATCAATCTAGATTTTTATTTATGCATTGCTTTAATAGATCTTTTAATAAGGGGCGGGGCCCTTATAGATCGGGGCCCCTGGAGGTTGGGGGCCCAGGTTCATAAACTTGCTGAACCTGCTATAATTACGCCACTGACAACACGTTTTCACATTGGCAGATTATTTTTTTAATGTTCACAATTTATACATATATCATTAACAAAACGATTTACAGATTCACCAACAGAAACCGGGTAATATAGTATCAGGCGGATCCAAAGATGACTGAAGGGGAGGGGATGGGGACGATCGAGACAACACTACCTTTATGGTCCGGGGGCATGTCCCCGCGAATTATTTGTTTTCTAGACGCCCGAAAATAAACTCTCATGCGTTTTGGACCAATTATTTCTTTTTCTATTCTTTCTTTTTCTTCTTTAAAAAACTTTCCAAAAGGGGAGAGGGGGCCGGGCGTCACGGTCGGAACGGTCACCCTCTAAATCCGCTCCTGGGTATAATATATATTATAATAAGTATTAATAAGAAGTTTTCAGATTTTGTTCTATATTTCTATTGATAGGTATTGCTACTGGGTATCTTCATTGCGGTGGCTACAAGCTCTTCTGACGCCACTTCATGTAAAAAATGTCCACCATATTGGACTAACTACGGAAATAGTTGCTATAGAGTCTTTGAATCATTAAAGACTTGGAACGAGGCACATGTGGCTTGCTCCTACCTAGGCAGAAATAGTGATCTCGTCTCCGTCGAAAGTGATTCTGAAAACAATTTTGTTTCTACGCTTTGGAAAACTTCTCACAATGTGTTCGTTTCCAAAGCATACACATACTGGATTGGCTTGATGAGGTCTGGCAGCAGTTGGCGCTGGTCGAACTACTCAACATCCCGGTACAGAAAATGGGGATCCGGTGAACCCAATAACCATGGAGGAAATGAAAATTGCGTTCATCAGTGGAAAAGGAATGGCAATTATCTGACCTGGAATGACGTTCCTTGTAGCATTAAGTTATCTTACGTATGCGAAATGCCCCCGTCATATTAAATCCCCCCAAAATGTTTTGACGTTATGATATTATTTTTTTGTAGAACCTGGTTTAGCATTAAATTTAAATGAGATAGTAAATCTTGTCTTGACAATTGGATTACCCCGATTTATTCTTGGGATTTAGTTAGATATATTCATTAAACTATAATAATTTAATTAATTGCAGGATATCAGAGTGATAAATGCACGATCCTTAAAACAGCTAAAAAAAAACTTGTTCTAACGGACGAACATTACTGAGTAGCCTATTGAGTCGCATTAAGTGACCACTGCCGTCAGATCATGATGGCACAATGAGTGAACATCACTATATAGGCCTAACTTGTAATTAATCTATTCTCAGACCAGTTGTTTCCGCCATGGTCAATAACTCCGCTAACCGCATATTTGAGAACATGACGTTTTTAAGTTTCAATAAAGATTTAATACGCTCAATTGAATTTGTTCATGTCTTTGTTATTGAACATTGTTTTTAAACCGATTCAAAGTCGGAGTAGAGAGAAAGAATGGGAATGGGAATGCGATAGAGAGGTGATGGAGCGGGTAGTGGGCGGATCCAAGGAAAATAAAATTACCGACAGTACGACTGAAGAATTAAGGATGCAATCAGGAAGGAATGCTAACCACACATCATGTGTGACACATGCAAAAAGTGGTCTACCGTTATCATCCTTGGGCGCAGATGCAGGATTTGGCGGTAGGGTGCGTGAGAATCCATACAATTTTGAGAATAGACCTTTCCGGAGTGTCAATCAAACTTATCAACTGACCAATCAGAACAGCGCTAGGGATACGCGCGTGTCTCACAAACACACGTGTTGTCCCACAAACGCACATGTTCGCGTATGTTTTAACACTGTCGTCTTGTGGGACCTTAGCAACTATATCCAAGGGGCGGGGCTTAGCGGAAAGGTCTATAGGTCTAATTGACCTCTAGACTGGGCTCCAGTCCCTAATCTTTATTTTTAAATCGATTTTGGTACCAATGGCGTTCCATAGTACCTATTTGCTTGGCGTTTCATAGTATACTTTTTCTTGGATTTCTTTTTCTAATTCGCATAAAAGTTTCTCGATATATACCGTCGCTGGTGGCGCTCTCCAAAATTAGTTATTACTAGAAAAACCTAAAATTAGAGACTTGTGGCAAGTCTAATAGACCTCTAGGTGCCCAGGAATACTCCCATACTTTAAAATCTTACGGGTAATTTATATCAACTATACAATACAACAATTATTTTTCTTAATACAATTTAGGGGGTTGCAATTGCACTATTTGCACCTGCATCCGCTCTGGTCACCTCTAGGGTGGCACGGTTACTGCAACTGTATCATTTTGGTCTGATGTATGCCGCTAGTCTACTGTATTTGTAGCTTCGTGTGCTACATTGACCGACCCCTAGGGGTGGGGGGGGGGAGGGCAGCGGGAGAGGAGATGGCAGGGCCCCCTTTCAAGGAGAAAAACACAATTCGTAGGGGAGAAGATATATTTATTTTTTTAACATATTAGTAGACACTAAAACGATTAAATAACATTTTCTAGGGGATTCGCCCTTAACTAATTTCAAGCGACGCCTGACCACGCCCACTGCGTTTACGTCGAGGAAATTCCCCTTATTCGGGAAATTGCCTTTCCTCTGCTATAAAAGCAAACTTGTATGTAAAATCTCCCGGAGTTGGATCTGCTCAAGACTCAAGTCTGTCAGAAATATTAGCACTGAAAATACAAACAGGGCATATGTTGGTAGTTGCTGGGTAACGGATTTACTTTGATCTTCGTGGGCACATCTACTTCTTCAAGACCCGGTGTTGTTTGCTCGATAAAGAAAGATAAAGACTGTACCACAGAAAACGTCTAGCGTACGATTTACATAAATTCTATCTTGACACCTTTTCATCAGCAGTTTCTCAGTAAAGGGTGTTAGTGGACGGTGCCCAGAGAAATTGCGTTTTGGTTCTTAGTCAAATTGAAACATTATTCTTCGAATGATTTTTACTTTTAATTTGTTTTAAATATGGCCTATTTGTAATAGGCCTATTTTATTTTTTTCTCGCGGGCCGGATGAAATTTAGCGGCGCAGGAGGCCTACTGCTAAGCCCGTGTTTTCATGTTGACAAAGCTCAGGGGAACCTATCATCTTAGTTGGTGGTGCCGATAATCCAGACAAAAATCTGGGTACAGGGGGAATGTGACTTGAGAAGCACCGTCAGGGAGAGGGTTTTGATATTCTGTTTAGATGCTTGACCCTAGACACTGATGGAATTTAAATGGGAAATTTACTTATTTTGCATGGACGTGCTGTCTCCTCTTCCTTTCTTTTCTTCTTTGGGAGCCCTATCCCCGTGTCCCCGCCCCCTTCTGGCTCCAGCTGCCGGATAATGTTCATCCATCCATTCAATTCAATTCAATTCAATTCCTTTTATTCAGTCTATATACATAAATATAACAGAAATGTGCTTTGAAGTTAAGCGATCAAACATAAATATAAGTATTAGGCTAAGTGATGTTAGACCAGTAAGATAGACTATAAAAACAGGGGCGGATTCAAAATTAAATTTCATTTATTTATTTTGTCTAATTTGAACACACAAAACAGTTTCAAACTCGGGAAGACAGGATAACCAAGAGTATACTAAAATACTGTCAAGTGGCTCTCCAAACCGAAAGAGAAACAGGGATAAAAAAAAGAAACACAAAATAGGAAAAAATTACTCTAAAATTAATAAATTAAAATAAAAAAGCACAGAACAGACATTCTTATTTATTTACTTACTTTTTTTTGGTCATTTGTTTTCCTGTAAATACATTAAAAATAACAAGCTTCTGTTCTTTTGACTTTTGACAGCAAAACGGTTGGTAACTATGAGGTTAGCATGCCTTTTTGTAAGCCAGGACCCAATAGTATTTTGTTACGTTTCTTCACGGGGGTGGGGGGTTCGTCCGAACCCCTTGAACCCCCCACCCCCCGGATCCGCCACTGAAAAACATTAGAAGACAGTAAAAAAAGTATTAAGATATAATTATTAAAAGATGATAAAAGACAGAAAGCAGAAGGAATGGAGGAATTAGTTCTAAACAAATTCCTCCATGTTTCATTTCTGTGATAAAAGTGCAGTACATGTACAGTATTTTAAATAATAGCGCGTCCTCTATGTACAGTGACGTAATTATTTTAATTGATCGGAATTCTAAGAAATGTGTAGATTTTCTAAGTGCTCCATCGGCCAATCAGATTGACGCATAACCAACAACAACATTGGATTTGGAGAAGAAGACATGGGCTGAGATTCCACGATCGTTTAGCGTTTGTTCTTTGTCAGGTATGTAATTTAACTACGGCATGAATCTTTCGTAATTTATGAGGTTGGCTTAGGCTTAGGCCCAACTGTTCTTCCAAAGGTTGCGTCACTGTGGTGTTTGTATATATATAGGCCCTAGGCCTAGGGTAGGCTCGGGGCCTAGGCAGTTGACGTTGTGGCTTAGCTAGCCTAGGCCTAGCTAGGCTAACTTCTTTGTTCCAGTCCTACTACAGTATTAGTACTCTAGCTAGGCCCCAGCTACTAGGCCTAGCGCCTAGGCTAGTGCCCGTTTCCAGACGACTTTGCCCAATTGGTCTGAACGATTGGTTACAATATTAGGCCTGGGCGCCTAGCAAAGAAGGCCTTTTTCACGAATCGGTAGACATCCTGAAGTGATGACAAACATTGCAAATCAGCGGTGCGTAACCAACAGAAATAAGATAAGTTTCTGGGCTGATTTTCTGACATCATTTTATTTAAAAAATCGTAACTCCATAACGGGGCGTCATATCCAAAAATTTTTTCCAGCAAAATGGAGAAAGTCGTCGAACAGATTTCTTTGTACAATATTTTTTTTTTACAGCCATGCAGTATGTACGATTTGTGTACAATTGTCTTGTCTTTCTCTCCTAGTCATTTCGTAGGCTAGGCCTAGGTAGGAATGACGCTAGCCAGCCAAAGCCTATAACATCGCACAATTGAAGCCACGTGGGCTGCGTAGACTGTAACGCTTATCTAAATCTATTATTTCTCTTCATTTTACAGTATTATCATATTTAAAATGTTGTTTATTATCTAAAAACAACAAAATTCAACATATTGCAGGCCTAATCCTACCGTCCGTTTAAACGCAATCACGATCGCATCGTGACTTCACTACTGACAAGTACTGTACATGTGTGGAAAATCCCTGATAGATCATTCTGAGCATGCGCATGGACATGCATGGGCAGTTTTGAAGCAGCCTGTGAAGATACGATCGTAGTTTTTTACGAAAGTGATATTTCCCATGCCAAAGATGTATGTAAAACATGTATTATACTACACTATTAAATTAATACAAGTACGACCATTCTTTCACCAGCAATATATTGATTTAATAGAGAAATTAACAAAATCACAATCTGTAGATGACGATGTAAGGTTGAGCATTCGGAAAAATCGTAGTTTATACTATATAGGTAGTAAAAAATTGCTGAGGCTGCCGACCTCGGAGAATTTAAGGTCGGCAAATTTTTGCCGACCTACTGTAATTTTTTCCTAATTTCATGGGCTGAGAATGCATGTGTCTGCTGTCTACGAAACCTTTCACATTCACATAAGTCATAAGCTGAGCATGTGGCGGATTGTGTTCTTTGATCTTATCCGATAACACTGACAGTGCTTTGTAAAACGATGACACATTATTCATTCGGTGTTGATGCAGTTAGTTTTATCTATTCTCATCGAAAAACTAGTAAAAGAGATTTTTGAATATTTACTGACCCTTATCAACATTATATCGAGAAGGTTAGAAAGCCAACCACCTCAACCAGGGTGTGGTGCACCACCATTTATTTGTGTTCGAATGTGTAACAACAAAATGATCCTATTTAAAGCACTGTAATGATATATATTTTCGAGAGAGCAAGGAAGTATTTTATATACTGTAGGCCTGTATTTTATATTATAGGCAATATTACATTTATGTGTGATGTTTTGGGGCTCAAGCGTGAGACGTGTGTAAATAGGGGCCTGCTAGGCCTGGCCTGCATCTTGTGTGGACGGTCGGGCCAATGATAAGTGATGGAGCCAGGATCTGAGGCCTACCTGACGGAGAGGCGGAATAAAGCCCCGTCGGGGCAGCTGAACAAGCGAAGCTGGCATTTTGGCTGAGCGCCTCAAGGGGGATGGATTCAGGATTTGTGAAAGGGAGAGTGCTAGGCTGGGGGGACACCTATGGCCCGCTGAGGTCCAGGAGCATAGCCCTGAGGGGGGTTCAAGATGAAGGCGTTTTGGAAAATAACGGCCAATTTACGTAGCTTTTTGTCGAAAATTAGGCTTTGACCTAATCTTATTAATCGTAACTACTTCATAAGGCATTGATACAATCAATGCTTCATGCAGTAGCTATGATTCTGCACACTGTTTTTTTAGTGATTTTCAGCACAATTTTGAACTGGTTTTTGAGGTATCATCCACACAATTAAAATACTTTGAATTATTGCTTTCTAGAGGATTACTGTAGATGATCAATTTAAAGGATTTCTGAGGAGGAAATCTGACAAAAATAATGCTTTACAAATTTGAAAAATATAAAATTTACAATAGATTACCAACTCAGGATAACTAAAATATAAAACATTGAAAAATACCAACCAATTTGTACTTACCCATTTATGCATAGCCAAGTATAGTCCTATTAATAATGATTTTATTAAGTTTTATTTTTTATTTTAACTTGTAATTTTATATCTGATCACATTACATTTCTATGTAATCTTTCTCTATCCTCTGCAACCTTTCCATCCGAATGGAAAAGAGCCACCATCACTCCTCTTTTCAAATCTGGTCAACCTACTCTTCTTACTAACTACCGTCCTATATCTGTTTTGCCCATCTTCTCAAAAATTTTAGAAAGAGCAGTCCATAGTCAATTGTATAATCACCTCTCATCTAATGACCTAATCTCTACTTCACAATCGGGATTTCGTCCGAAATATTCTACATTAACAGCCACAGTCAACACGTATGATAATTGGCTTTCAAATATCAATGAAGGGAAATTAACTGGTACAGTCTTTATCGATCTAAAAAAGGCATTTGATCTTGTCCAGCATAATCTTATAATTAATAAAC